TACAACAGAGTCTGCTCCCCACTCGTGTTACCTGTAACCAGTCAAGCAGCCTCGCTATGGTTTTTCCAACAACCCGCGTGTTGTTCACGGCATCGGTGTAGAGCTGGTGGGCAAGAGAAAGCCAATCCACAACCACCACGTTGGCATCCTTCTCCCTCTCCTGAAGAGCAGACACCAAGCTGTCCAGCCAGGTTTCGAACATGCCACTCATCTGAGGAGAGATGCAGGTGTCAGTTTCCAGCTTGCAGGACCAAGATGACGCATTCGCAGTTAAGCTATTTGTATATCATTAACATATTCTGCTCCAGCTGCATGCTGCTCCCCTTGCAAGCCCCACTACTTCCCAGCACTGCACTAATGGAGTAAGAAAAACAGGTTTTGAGAGACTCTGGCTGTAATTAGCCACTTGCCTTTTAAGGCAGGAGGGAGAGGCATTCGTTACGTGCCACCTTATCGCTCTTTTTCTCAAGACTTCCAGAAATTCTGATGGGCGGTAAAATTATTCCCCGGGTCTTGGCACTACTGTTTGTATAAGCCCTGGCAGAGCTGATAATTCCCCCTCGTGGCACGCACTTGTCCACATGAATAGCAGAACAAAAAAAAGCTTGATAAGAGGCAAAGATAAAGCCTGTGTGCCCTCTTGTTCCTTTATCAGGGAGACCTCGTAGCAAACGTCAGGGCCGTGGGCACCCAGCTGTGACTATAGAAAGTCTAAGCACGTGCCTGTCAAGTCACGTATTGCTTTCATAGTGGTCGGTCAGTTGGACTGAAGGGAAAATTCCCAAGTTCCCATTACCACTTTCACGTTATATAGCCGTGAAGTGATCTTGTGCAGTTATGAATGAGTTGGGTGATTTCACAGGGTTCTTAAGCCTGACCCACACTGCTTCGTTTCAGAGACCTCAGGTGCAGCTATTTAGAGACCATAGTGCTTGAAATACAAAAAGTTTTCACAAATCTCACGTATTCATAGAATTCTAGAACAGTTTGGAAGTCTAGAACAGTTGGAAGGGATCTTTAAGATCATTCAGTTCCAGCTCCCCTGCCTTGGGCACTTTCCACTAGTTCAGGCTGTTCAAAGCACCATCCAACCTGTCCTTGGACACTTCCAGGGACAAGGTAGCCACAGAAATTCCAGAACAGAAATACTCTGGGGACACAGCCCCCGCGCAGGGCAGTTTGCTCTCTCTGAGCGGACAGACTAAGCATTGCCCGCGGTCCTCCGTACTTACTGTCCAGCCGTGAATGATGAAGAAGGTTTTGGCTGTCACGTTGAACTTGCAGTCCTCCAGCCACTGGTGCTGGCCGACGGCGATCGCGCACCCATCCTCACCGGCGCCCGGCGACGAGCGCACCCCGAACCTCACCCGCGGCTCCGGCGCCGGCACACGCTCCGCGCTGCCATCTGCGAGCCCGGCGGAGACAGAAGGGTCAGCAGAGCGGCCCCCGAACCCGCCCGCCCCCGGCAGGGGCACAGCCCGCTCCACTGCTCCCCCCACCCCCCGGTCCCGCGTGGGACCGCGCTCACCCACCTCCCGCCTGCGCGCCCCGCGCCGCGATGCAACAGGTCACGCCGGTGCACAGCAGGAGGACGAGCCTCCTCATGGCTCGGGAGGACGGGCGGGCTGGCGGATGGACAGACGGACGGACGGACGGACGGAGGGGTGGGATGGTGGAGGCAGGCAGGCACGCACGGACGGACGGACGGACGGACGGACGCGCGGCGGCGGCGGCGGCGCTTTAAGGGGGCCGCGCGGGGCGGCGCTCGTGGCACGATGGGGCGGGGCCGGCCCCCAGCGCCGCTCCCATTGGTCACGCCCCCCTTACGTCACGAGAGGGATGAATGGGAAGCCACGCCCCCCGTGGGGAACCCGCCGGGGGTTTGGGGGATCACGGCGGGGGGACCCCAGCGCTGGTACCCGGGGGGATTGTGGGGACGTGAGGGGGGTCTGGGGGGAGTCACGGGGGCACTGGAGTGCTAGTACCCTGGGAGATTTTGGGGACTTGAGGGGCGTCTGGGGGGAGTCACGGGGGCACTCCAGCGCTAGTACCCCGGGAAATTTTGGGGAGGTGAGGGGGGTCTTGGGGGGCTCACAGGGGGACCCAATGCTGATACTCCGAGGGATTTTGGGGACATGTAGAGGGGCCTAGAAGGGGGGCTACAGCTCTCACCCCGAGGGGCAGAGGGGACATGCAGAGGTTTGTAGGGTTAACGGGGATCCCCAGCACTGACAGGCCGAGGGGATTTTTGGGAAATGCGAGGTTTGGGGCGTTCACGAGGGGTCCCCAGAACTCTCCCCACGAAGGGCAGAGGGGGATATGAAAGATTTAGGGGGAGAGTCTCCAGCGCTCTCACCCTGAGGGTGAGACAGGTGGCCCCATGTGGGGAACTCGCAGGATTTTGGGGGGGTCATGGGTGCTGACCCCCTCATGCTGTGCCCCCCGACCCAGGTGCCAAGTGGGGGCCTGGGAATTCCAGCTCCACCTGTGGGAAATCCCCATTTCTTTGCCACTCGGGACCTACCGGGCACAAGATGCTTCCCGAAGGGCATTGCCCGGCTTGCAGCCAACTATCTTCTGGAGCTACATTATCAATACCACAAATGCTTTTGCACCCAACAATTATCCACTTATTCCTACTTTTTTGTTACCTGTATATGTACCAGTTACTGACACATGACAAGTTATTTAATTTTATAGCGCCGGTGTCTCACCACACTGTGTCAGAAGAGGTCACATTCAGGGACACATGATTTTCCTGCTGTCTTTTTCTTCCCCTTCCTCAGCCTCGAGGCTCCTATTTCCCTTCAAACTCACAGCAGAAAGCAGTGAGAAGGCACCAGGGTCAGTGGTGGGTAAAGGAAAATGTGTGCAGGCAAATGATGATTAAAGACTAGGACTGTGGTGTCTCACCTCTAAGGGGAAGGGAGAACCCGAAATTTGTAGATGCTCATAGTTGAAAGAAATGGCAAAGGTCAGAAGGTCTGCAAAATGTACAAAGTTTTATTAGTAAATTACAGACTTGGCCTGGAAATTGGTGTATTAGCCTCTGAGTTTTTAGTGTAAACACATGGCGGTGGATTTTGAGTAAGAGCTATGGTGAAAGGGAAGAGAGAGACGGAAAGAAGGAAGGAGGGAATGAAGGAGGGAAGGAGGTAAAAAAGGAGGGAAGGAAAGAAGGAAGGGAGGAAAGAAGGAAGGAAGGGAGGGAGGAAGGGAGGAAGGACGGGAAAGAGGGAGGGAGACAGGGAGGGAGGGAAAATATGGGAAATCAGACACAGGACTTGCTTTAGCCCTCACCAGTAGATATCAATGGAGAGTATTAATGTGACTTTCCAGCAGTGCATTCCTCCAGTCCAGCCACCTCCTGACTCTGTGTCGATTGGCAGCTGGACTACAGGATCACTGTAGGTCACTTCCAAATGAAATATTCTATTCTATTCTATTCTATTCTATTCTATTCTATTCTATTCTATTCTATTCTATTCTACTCTACTCTACTCTACTCTACTCTACTCTATTCTATTCTACTCTATTCTATTCTACTCTATTCTACTCTGTTTATTCTATAAGGTTTTATCGCAGCTCTTATAGATGGGACAGGTTGTGGCTGGGGATTGCTGCTCTTCTCCTCTTTGGGGATCATTCCTAGAACCTCTTAGTTCCCGACTCTGCAGGTTGAATGCAATTTCTGGGAGCTCCTGGAGCGCGCCCTGTTTCAGGAGGTTGGAGATGACGCTCGTGCTCCTCCTCAGGGAGCGTGGGGTTGAGCAGAGTGTACTGAGGATGCAGTGTCTCCTGCAGCTGCATGGTTGCTCTCGAGGAGCAGCATCCTGACAGCACTGACCTAACACAGAACGGACAGAGGCCTCTCAGCTCCTGGCCCGCGACTTGGTCCCGCAGGAAATGAATCAGCCAAGGCTCATCACCCAACGCTTCATCATTCTGTGATTCTATGATTTCTAAAAACCCCTGGTGCCAACAAAAGCCTGCCAGACTGTTGACCACCGTGTCATTATCGTGGTTTAAACCACCACGTCTTCTCATTCTCCTTCTGTTGTCTCTTGCAGCTGTGAAGCTCCTCCTTTTGTCTGTGCAACTCCGGGCTCTGGGGAGGGGAGTCCTGGTGTTTGCCTCTGGCTTCCAAGAATGACAGTAGCAGTGAGAATAGCTTAGCAACAGCAAGGAAGAATAATCAGAATAATTTTTTTTGGCTGCTTTGGCCAAAAGGTAACGATCATCTGGGGAGATGCTCTGGAACTGTTGTGATGGGCATGGTATCAATGCACAGAGTGTGGCTCTGCACTGACCTCTCTGTAACCCTAATGGCCTGGGGGGAAGGAGGATCCCACCCAGAGCTGCTTGGAAAATAACAGTTCATTAAGCCAAATAATTTTGAGGAAAAATTCCTAGTTTTGATTAGTTTTTCACTGGGAAAGTTTTTTCATGGCTCCCAGATGGAATTTCTGGATATTGTAATAAGCAATAAATAATAAACCAGGATAAAGGGGATAATAATCCACTTTAAAAGAGATGGAAACTCGAGAATTAACAGCACTTATAGGGGTGTAGGAGGCAGCTGGTGTCCCAGCAATGCTCAGGGAGATAGTGGCTGTTCTTGGAGGCATCTTTCTGGCTCTTGTCTTCTCACTCTGGCTCGATTCCCACTGCGATTTCCTACAGGTCTCAGTTCAGCCCAAAAGCAGAAGCGGAATGTTTTTGAAATCATGAGCATTTTTATAGGAAATACAAAAATGTCTCACTCATTTGTAGTCACAAGCTCTTGGCAGGTGGGTGCTGGGTGAATTGAGTCTGCTTTCTTCTTCAGCACCAGATGTGGTGAGTCAGAACAGAGTCATGAGATGTGGAGGTAGAAGGGACATGAGAGGAGTTAAGCTTTTTCCTTAGTAGCACAAAGCTAAAATCAGTATGGTATGTAAATTAAGGTTCCAAAATATTTAAATATCTGGAGTCTCACGCTGCTCTGGAGGAAGGACTAGGCAGGTTTTGCAGCATCATCATTTAATCTGAGAGGTTTACATGTCCATGCATCCATCAAGGAGACACTTTCAATGCTGTTTCTGTATGAGCAGAACACCTCAGACCTGGTTGATGGTCAGTGTCTTCTGCAGGAGCTCAGTCTGAGAGAAACAGGCTGTCCCAGTCCTGCCCAAGGAGACTGAAATTGGAGACCTTTGTAAAATATTTTGCCTTTAACGTTTCTATTTCCCTGTCTTTAAAATAAACATGCTGACACCTCCTCTCCTTGAAGAAATGGCTGCACCATTAAAGAGCTGAGCATTAAAGAAAAAGGGAAAAACCCTTCAGCATCACACCATCTCTGCAGGAGGGATGTGCACAGTATTCCTGCAGTTAGGATTGCATCACACTGCATTCTAGGAAAGCACAAGTGGAACACCTGACCACTTCTGATGGGGAAAACGTGCGGCTCTTGGGTTTATGAGGTGCTTGTTACTGAAAGCAATGGAACAGCGGCCAGACTCAAAGACACACAGTCTGAAGATTGGTGTCACGGCTTTAGGTCAGATATTCGGTGTCAGGGAGCGATTATTGCTATCCTGAAAATTTTTAATTTGGCATTTAGAAACCTGAGAGTGTTTTGCCCACCCTCCATTCTTCCTGCCTGGTTCTTCTCCCCTTCTCTTTATATTTCTCCGAAGCCAGAGGGAGTAGGATTTACAGGATAGGAGGAGGAGGGGAAAGAAAGGAAGGGATCATTCTCTTTTTTTTTTTTTTTTTTGAGTTATAAAACAGGTTTTCTTTTCTATTACAAAACACAGCTCAGGCAGTAGAATTCAATGGAATTGGTGCTAGTTTCTCCTCTTGACTCCTTCTGCCTACTTTCTCTCTGAGATGATGGGGGAGGAGAGGTAGAGAACAAACTGAGAGAAGGGAGGGTTTCTTGGATGGCAGCAGCCTCGGGGTGCACTGAGCTGGGATGAAGGCCTGGGAAGGACCCCCACATTAGATTGCAGAGCTGATTGCACTCCCCAAGGGGTCTGCATTCCTGCAGAGGCAGCTCTGCAGTGAAATATCATCCCAGGTTAATCCTCACCCGCTCAGCCCAGGACCTCCTAGTTTGTCCTCATCCCATCACACCACAATTAATTTATACTTAGTGCTTGCTGCAGACGGGGGAGATGCTATTTATGTGGCACAGTTTCTGCTCTGGATGCTTTTGTTCTGAGAGCACCAAACTGGGGAGAAAACAGGCCACAGTGCCTTTGTTTCGCAGCCGTTCTTCACCCCACAAAGTCTCGTCTCCCCTCCTCAGCCTTTCAAACACAGCTCCCCCATGAACGTGCTTTATAGGACCAATATACTTCATACCCCTGGATAGGTTTGTTTGCTTACAGAAGAGGCTAATCTTCATCAGGTTATGAAATCAGCTCACATGCTTCAGTAGCCTTACCCACTATTGATATCCCTGTTCGATCCCTGTTGAGCTCTCTTTGTCGGAGGTAACCCCTTCTCCTACTCCTCCTAAGCTGATTTCTTAAGCCACCTCATTCAAGTCCCACATCCCCATGGTATTTAGATGTATTAAAAATGACTGGGAGGAAAATAAATGGCAGCCAGCGAGGCCACTAAACTGTCTGACTATTAATGGTCCTGTTAGTTGCAAATTTACTTTACCACAAAGCCCCCAGCATGTAATCCTTAGATGAATGCCTTTGATTGTGAGGGAATATTTACAGCTGACCCTGCCAGCAGTCTGCAAACCTGCAATGGGCCTCCTGTCCCACATTAAATCCGCTGGCATCTGTTCCTGGGTTCTTATCAAGCACATGCTCTGTTGGTGCAGTGTTTGGGCTGCAGCGCTGGCGGATATGGTGGGCCTTGAAGAATAAATCCCCACATTCCTGGGAAATGCTAATTCTTGTGAGCCGTTGTCACACAGGGAGGAAGGTTACAGTGTGTACCTGCCTCCAGGCATCGCCATCCACTGGGAGGTTTCCGTGAGGCTTTTGATCCCTGCCGGCTGCCCCCTCCTCATAGCAGGACCCTGGTCCTGCTGCTGGACCACCCTTCACCGAGGACAAAATTCTTCTCACATCTTCAAAACTTCTTCTGCCATTTTCCCAGACATGCCTGAGTGACATGGAGTGGTTTTTATGAGGCTTTTTTATCTCTTTTCACCCTTGCCCACGCTTGCTCTTACTGAGCGTGTTGTTCTTGCAGAGACCCTCAGGTGATTTTGGCCTCCTCCAGCCACAGCAGAGCTGTGCAGGAGCACAGGCTGAAAGCCAGCAAGAGCTCAGTGTGTCCTGCTCCCCATGCCCAAGTGGACAAGTGAAACTCAGCTTGTCATTCCCAGCATGTCCCGTGGTACGTGAGATGGATCCAGACTACATGGCTGCTTTGTGTCACACAGGAGACCTGGTGGCGTGTGGTGGGCCTGCTCCATCCACTCGGTAGGCAGGGATGTCTTTAGCCCTGCGCTGAGGAATGACACGCATTTTGTCTCTCCTTACGCCTTTACCCAAAATTCACGCTTTTCCATCCGAGCTGGATGAATGCTGAGCGTGTCTGGGCTTGAACATGGACTTGGAGCCAAGCCCGTTGGCAGTGCAAAGGTGTCGTGGGTGGCCAGGGGGATATTTGCTTCTGCTCCTCTCTGAGGTCCTATTTTGGTGGGGAACTGGAGAAACGTCTCAGAAGTGTGTGATCACTTGACCCTTCAAGTGGTGGATGGTGAGTCCCCCAGCAGAGCTTGTGCTTTAACTCTCCTGCACTCAACAAAGGGAAAATATTAGGAAAGTAATAAATTACTAAGACTGCTCCTCTGCCTTTATTTTAAGTAGAAGCTGGAGCTGTTAGAGTATTCCAAGAGGAGTTTGGGGACAGTTGTTTGGTTTAGGGCTGTAGAGTGCACTTTTACTTCAAATCTGCAGGAATCTTTGGCCTGAGGCTGGCGTGGATGTGGCAGCACCACCAGTGAGATTTAAGTCAGACTGTAAGGACTGGCAGAGCAGGCAATGGCCCGTCTGCACACCAAGATGGGTCTGTCAGACCTGCCGCAGCTCTGGCTTTGGGGTCATTTTGGGCTTATTTCTGATCATTGGCAGGTATAATATCTTGCAAGTTGGCATTTTGGCAGAGTGATTAGTAAGCTGACACGGCCTCCTTGCCTGAAAAGTCCCCAGACTAAAAGCCAAGCCAGTCATCTGGAGCCAGGTTGGATTAAGGCTTGGAGCAACCTGGTCTAGTGAAAGGTGTCCCTGCCCATGGCAGGGGGATGGAAACAGACAATCTTTAAGGTCCCTTCCAACCTTAACCCATTCTATGACTGATTTTCAGCACTCTTACATCCACTTTAAATTGTTCTCAGTGGCGCTCAGGCTTTCAAAACTGATCCTGTAAATCTGGAAGGACACCAAAACCAGGAAACTCTTGAGCATGCCACTCAGCTTCCAGTGCCTACGGGAAAGAAAACTACTTTTTATTAAAACCAATTAATTTTTTACTTACTTTAGCAAAGCCCCATAAAAACATATGAAGTTAGGTCTCACCGTTATTACTAATTTGTACCCAAGCTTTACGGTTGCAAGTCTCAGGTAACTGTTTCTTCCTGGGCGGTTGTTGTGTCAGCTCACATACGTTCTTCATCTATTTCTGGTCCTGACTGCTCATTCAGCTGATGTTTAGGAGACCCTCTGGCAGTATTTCACTGTGTTTCACACTGAAGAGGAATCCTATTTTGAAACCACAAACAAAGACTTTGTGCACTATCTTTTGTTTTCCATAAAGAGGGTGACAAACAGTTTGGGGACAGGAATAAGCAGCACAAGATGATGCTGTGTATCATCAAGGTCAGCATCATTTATCCCCAGCACCCTGTTTTTAATTAACCCTCTCCTTTGAACCTCTTGCCTTCACAAATCCATGCGGGTGTAGCGCTGGGATGTGCCTGAGATGGAGGAAAGCCTTGAGTCATCTTTGGAGATACAGGGAGTCTCCTGCTTTTCTCAGACATTGGCTTTACTTGCACCAACAATATTACTCATTCCGTTCTTCACCAGCCTGCACATTCTACTATGAGAACTCATCAGTTTATCCCATCCCTGAAACCAGTCCCATTCCTTGGTGTCTCAAAGAAAAGGTCATCTGCCATATCCACTTGCAGTGTGTGCGGTGGGAAAATGGGCAAGAATGAGATGTCCTGGGAATGCTGGTCCCCACCAGGCACTGTTTCAACTTCTGGCCATTTATTCCTAATTGCCTAATTTCTCCCATTTATTGTGTTTATTGAGTGCGCGGGGCTTATTAGGAAGATTCAATGGCTCTGTAATTAATTAAGAAAAGCTTGGGGCTTTGTACTCGTGTTCCTGCCTGTAATGTACAGACGCTGCTGATATTCATCCCAGGAATTCCCAGTCCAAGGTCAGACAGGCAGAAACACTGAGGTCAGGGCAGAGGGAGAACAAAAGGGCTTCTCTGTACAGGTCAGTTATACCGTGGGCTGATCCCCAGCAGCGTGACAGGCAGATCAAGGTGGGGATTCTGCCCGTCTGCCCTGCTCAGGTGAGACCCCCCCGCAGAGCTGCCTCCAGCCCCGGGAACAACAGCACAGGGATGTGGAGCTGCTGGAGAGAGCCCAGAGGAGGCCACAGAGATGCTGCCAGGGCTGGAGCCCCTCTGCTCTGGAGCCAGGCTGGGAGAGCTGGGGGGGTCACCTGGAGAAGAGAAGGCTCCAGGGAGACCTGAGAGCCCCTGGCAGGGCCTAAAGGGGCTCCAGGAGAGCTGGAGAGGGACTGGGGACAAGGCATGGAGGGACAGGACACAGGGAATGGCTTCCCACTGCCAGAGGGCAGGGATGGATGGGACAGTGGGAAGGAATTGCTGTCTGTGAGGGTGGTGAGGCCCTGGCACAGGTTGCCCAGGGAAGCTGTGGCTTCCCCTGGATCCCTGGAAGTGTTGAAGTCCGGGTTGGATGTGGCTTGGAGCAACCTGATCAAGTGAAAGGTGTCCCTGCCCATGGCAGAGGGTGGAACAAGACGGGCTTGAAGGTCCCTTCCACCCCAAACCATTCTGGGATTCTATTCTGTGACTCTTTTCTGTGATTCTGTGACATGCTCTGCAGAGCAAGGCTGGTATTCTCCGAGCAGAGGACAATGCAGGTGTGAGCAGAGACCTGCTGGGCAGGTAGGACAGGGGAGAAGCAGCAGCAGACCTGCCTGGCCTGGGATTTGGGTGCAGGACTTGTCCCACTGACCACTTCTGCTTGTGGAAAGGTTCTTCCTTGCTTTACAGTGCAATTCCACAGCCTCTGCCTCCCCTTCCATGCCTGTGCAGGCTGCAGGTCCAGCTCCTGAGTCATGGGGTGGCCCATGGCAGGGGTGGGAGCTGGAGGTGTGGTACCTACCAGGGACCCCGTCCAGCAGCCGCCTGCCACAGCCTTGCCCGGCAGTCCCTACCCATCATATGACCTTCCTGAGCACCAGCATGTGACCGAACCACACTGGAAAAGACACGGCAGAGCAGAGCAGAGAGGCTGCAGAGGGGGAGGGCAGCTCTGCCAGAGCGGATTAGTAAGCTGGACAGATAGGGAAAGCTTTGAAGGAGGGGGCTTGTGTCAGACTTGTTGCAAAAGCAAAGGGGGAGGTAGCTGGATGACTGGGAGAGGGAGGCATGGGGTGAGCTGGGAGGGAGGGATGACCTCAGAGGTGACATCTGGGATCAAAGTGGGGAAGTCAGTCTGGTGGATGGGAAGACAGCTGCAGTCATCAGAGCAGAAGGGAGCAGAACCTTGGGGAAGATCTCTGACAATAAGACTAGTAAGAAATGAACACAGAAGCCACGCACTGGGATAAAAAATGAAGGTGTCGGAAGGATTGCTGTGCACATGAAGTTTGGAAGAGGAGATGTTCAGAGCTGCAGCTTCTTGCCATGCCACAAGCAGAAAGCTGCCTGCTGCCTGAAACTTTTGCACAAGTTGTGTTAGCAGGCATCAGGCATCATCCAACCTTGTTTCTCAATCTCTGAGCAGATCTCTGCACAGCCAGGTCCTTCCTGCAAGGAGTGCTCCTGTCCTGGGTCCCTGTGTGCTTTGTCTGCCAGCAGGGAGGTGGAGGAGCCCCTGGAAGGGAAAACCAGGATTGGTTGTGGTTTATCAGCTGAGCTGGGGGAGCTTGTGAGCCAGGGAGCAGAAAAAAAGAGCAGATAGAATTATAGAATCCTTTAAGATTGGAAAATACTTCTAATGTCCAAGTGTCAGCCCAGCACCGCCACGCTAATAATCATAACAGAGGAGAGGAGGAGGATTCTTTGATCCCTTTTGGAGACACAGTGTAAGAAAGGGAATCCGAGACCGTGTTTTACAGCACAGGGCACATTCAGCTTTAGAAATGTTGACAGGATTCACAGATGAGGTTGGAAAGGGTGAGTGGAGACCCTCTAGAGCACCCCTCCCTAGATCTCAAGGCGGGGTCAGCCAGAGCTGGTTGCCCAGGATATTGTCTCTGGCCCACCTGTTCCAGGGTACAACCATTCTATTCCATTTAAACAGAGTTCCCCATAGTTTAATTTGTGCCTAAATTGTGGGTAATATCCCTGATTCCAGGGATATTTTTGGTTTGATTAACCAAAAGCACATTTAAAGCAGTATTTCGTGGTTACGAGCAAGAGAGGTTAGAGCAAATGTAAACCCAGGATTTAATTTATCCCAAAAAGCCTGTATGATCAGGCACTTACATGATGCCTTTGTTTACTCATCTTGACCACTGGCTGGTCCATTCCTGGCCATTCAAGCCAGGAACGAGCAGTCACAGACCTGCACAACCTGCGTAAATGGTTTGCTGGCAGAAACTATCCTGAATAAACATGAACTTCAGCGACAAGGTTATTTAATCACACAGGAGGCTTGTTTTACCAGTGGTTCCCTCCTAGCTGGGCGTGCAGGGGGTGGATGAACCCGTAGCACGCGGACAGCATTCCAAAAATGTTGAGTATTAAGACAGCATCACAAATTGCTGTGGGGTTTTTTTTTTGTTTTGACTGCAACCCTGGCAGGCGGGTCCCCAGCAGAGAGGGGAAGGTGCTGTGCCTGCTGCGTCACAACTCCAGCAGCAGTGACGAGGAGGACAGATCCTCGGCTGTTTCCTCACTCCTGGTCTGTGTATAGCATACACAGGACAGAAATTATTTATATATTATAGAGTGTGTAGCTAATCTCTTGTTGAAAAAGATTGCCTGCGTTCCAGGAGGACTCACAGGGAATCAGAAGCATTTCAGCTGTTTGCATGTTTTAGGTGACACGCTTATGATGAGTTATACATGTACATGTATGTACAGACACAAACACATAAATACATGTATACAACTAACTTCATCTGCTTCAGTAGGGAATCTGTGGAAGCATCTCTTCTTAAAAATCACAGGGAGGAACATATAACATAACTGAGCTCCGCAGGTGACCCAGACAGAATTAGGGTTGCAGAGCAAATCTCTGATGTAGGTTAGTCCATCTTCTGGAGACGCATTTCACCCTTTTCCATGGAGTGACAGGACAAGGGGGAATGGCTTCCCACTGCCGGAGGACAGGGTTAGATGGGATATTGGGAAGGAATTCTTCCCTGTGAGGGTGGTGAGGCCCTGGCACAGAGAAGCTGTGGCTGCCCCTGGATCCCTGGAAGTGTCCAAGGTCAGGTTGGACGGGGCTTGGAGCAATCTGGGCTAGGGGAAGGTGTCCCTGCCCATGGTAGGGGGCGGAATGAGATGGTCTTTAAGGTCCTTTCCAACCCAAACCATTCTGGGATTCTATGATCTTGCTCCTGGGATTCACTGCCAGTAGCTTTTAAGACATGCTTGTGGACAGCAGCTTAACTGGAGAACTCATCTACCATGTGTCCAAACGCTGCTGTTTTGCTGTCCATGGGAGGAAAAGGCAAACAACGGGGGTCAGCTGTACCTCTAGAGGAGCCAGACATGTGGGAGAAGGAGAGCCAGAGACTGTAGGCTGCTCAGGAGAGAAGATTTCAGGGAAGGAAGGTGCAGGCAGATGTCTGAAGGCTGGAAAGCTCCAGCGTTTGCAGCGTTCAATCTGGTTTCAATTTAAAATGTCTTTGTCTTGAAGATTTCCTGCATAAGCATTAGGACAAGGAACCCATTTGTGTGTAATTTCTGTGAATGACAGTTTAATATCCCCACATAATCCTCAGACTCCAAAAGCTGGGCCTGTAAGAGAAATGCCAAGAAATCTACAAAGAGGTTTGAGGAACTGGCTCCCATTCCTGTCCAAAGAACAGGTCAAACCCCCTCCTGCAGCACAGAGGATACGTGGTGTGTTTTACTGAGCTGGAGTTAAGCTTGACCAATCATCCCAGTGGATCTATGTGTTAAAGGGGTTTTAGCACAGACTCCACGTGCCTCTCTAGTAGAAGTGACTGCCCTAAGTCTGGGTTGACTGTCAGGCTGCAGGGTGAGTGGGAAGGTTCCCTGGATGGAAGTGAACTCTTTGTGGTTTCAGACCTGCCATGAAAACGTAACCCCAGCCAGTCTCGGAGCTCACCTGTCCCTCTGGCCAGGAGGGATGGTGGCTGTCAGGGGCATTGGCTGATTGTCACTTAGGGTGACATTTGGCCTGGCAGTTCCAGGAGCACCGATAAGCTTGTTTACTCACAGCCACAAAGTGATTTACCTGAGACAACACTCCTGTGCCTGTACATTCCCCACTTCCTGCTGGGCAATTCCAGGGCAAGTTAAGGGGTGCAGCCCCATTCCAGTCCCAGGGACACATTCAGAGGTGAGAATCATGGGATCAGAGAATGCTCTGGGTCGGAAGCAACCTTTAAGCTCATCCAGTCCCTGTTTCCTGCCATGGGCAGGGACACCTTCCACTAGAACAGGTTGCTCCAAGCTACATCCAACCCGGACTTCAACACTTCCAGGGATCCAGGGGAAGCCACAGTTTCTCTGGGCAACCTGTGCCAGGGCCTGCCCACCCTCACAGACAACAATTCCTTCCCAATATCCCATCCATCCTTGCCCTGTGGCAGTGGGAAGCCATTCCCCCTTGTCCTGTCCCTCCATGCCTTGTCCCCAGTCCCTCTCCAGCTCTCCTGGAGCCCCTTTAGGCCCTGCAAGGGGCTCTCAGGTCTCCCTGGAGCCTTCTCTTCTCCAGGTGAACCCCCCCAGCTCTCCCAGCCTGGCTCCAGAGCAGAGGGGATGGCAGAAGCCTTTGCTGCCATTGTCATCAGCCCTTCAGGGGAAGGTGTTACCAGCAGGAGCCCCCAGAGCACAAAGGTCAGGTCTGAGCACAGCTGGATGTTTGCTGCCAGTGCCTGCTGGGACAGGGAGGTCTCCCTGGGCATGCACAGTACAGGCACCATGGACAAAGGAGGCGAGAGGGGTGGCATCACTGGAGTTTAATGTGAAGTTTTATGGAATGCCTCCTACACAGGAGCTTTCAGGAATATGATTTTGGACTTACGTGCCTGAATTTTCGAACCCAAAGCTCTTTTTGAGTCAGCTCGTACAAACCAAATACCCAAGGCAGGTGGTGGGTGCACCAGGGGAATAAACTGGTTAAAACCCAACAAGGCCACACACTCTGCTGACTCAGCCCTGGTGCCAGCACCAGATACGTGCTGGGCTGCCCCTGAGAGCAGTTGTCAACCTCCCAAAAGAGCTGAAAACATGCATCTCAGGGCAGTGGTCACAGCCTCAGCTCTGCCAGAACTTGAGGAGAGGTTGGACAATGCCCTCAGGCACGTGATGGGATTGCTGGGGTGTCCTGTGCAGGGCCAGGAGTTGAACTGGATGATCCTTGCAGGCCCCTTCCAACTCAGGACATTCCGTGATACCCTCCTACCACTGCAAGCCCTCAGCAGCCGAGCGAAAACAGTTCCACCCGTGGGGAAACGGAAAATGCAAGTGACAAAAAACGCCGCCCTGTTTGTTTAGGGTTTGATTGATGAGCAGAGGTTATAATCCCCACCATGTGTCAACTATTAGTGTTTCACACCTCTCCTCCAGCTCTCCCTTGGCTGTAGAGTTGCTCCCCGTGTTCTGCTGCCAAGAAGCAGCTGTGTGTAGAGGTGCTTCCCCCAGAAAGGCTAGATGGGGCTTGGAACAACCTGGGATAGTGGAAGGTGTCCCTGCCCATGGCAGGGGGTGGAACTGGATGAGCTTTAAGGTCTCTTCCAACCCAAACCATCCCGTGATTCTATGTTAAAAATAACAAATAATATTTAGCCACGTCCTGGATTTCCCTCCTTGGAGATCAGCGCTTGGAAGTTGTTTGGACACCTTGCAGAAAGCTTTCCCCCCACCTAAACCAAAGGAAAAAGGCACATTTTAAGGCAGGTAAATGAAGAGCTGCAGTCACAATTAGAGCTCTTACATTTTCCAGACGTGCAAATACTTGCGATAGCTTGAATATTTCCCTCTTCTCACCTGGGTGAAATCCTAGCAGCAAAGCTTTGGGGGTTTTTCTCTCTAAACAAGAGATCCAGAAATAACGTCCTGGTTATTGCATTTAGATAGGCAGCAAGTTCTTACTCATCCAAACTCAAGAATTAAACCCAGACCCTCTCATGCTGGGGAGCTGCCTGCACAGCA